TCTCAGATCTCCTGTACGGAGCCAAATTCTTACCGGCTTTGGCAACGAGCAGATAACTCCCTTCAGTTTTTCCCATCCCGCTGAGACCAGGCACGCATTGTCCCCAGCAGTCTGTCTTCTCCCCATAATTTTCATCCATCTATTGCTTTTCAGGTCATCTCCGCAAGAGGCAGACCGCTGCGGAGCCCCCGCAGCGTGGACGTGCGCTGGCCGTGGGCTCGTCCTTCACCTACCAGGACATTTTGGATGAGCTGATCGTTTATACTCAGAGCGGAGCGGCAGCACAAACAGACGAGTTTGGCTTCTCCGTCACGGACGGTCTCCACACGCGGACGGGGAGGCTGGAGTTCTTCATGGAGCTGCCGAAGAAGCAGCCACCCACGTTAGATGTCAACGGGGGCTTGCAGCTCCCAGTTGGTACGGGGAGAGGGGGGAGGATGGTATTGCTTGCTGTTGCTATGTGGTCCAGTCTAAACCAGTCGCTTAGCTGGACTGGCTGAAGCTGTTTGTGGACTTTCTTTCTCTGGTCCAGGCTCTGCGGCATACCTCACAGATCAGCACTTGAAAGCAGCAGCTCTTTATTCGGATGACACAACGATTCGATTTGTCCTGAAGAAGGATCCCAGCGTGGGCCAGCTCCAGTTGACCAAAACTGATAATCCCGTCCGGATCTCTGTCAAAGGACCTGTGAAAAGCTTCACGCAGGCTGATATAAATAAAGGTGAGAGCGTTTGATTTTAGATAATCACAGCAGGTAATAGGTAGTCCGGCGAGGAGCAGGGAGTCAGACTCGGTGATCCTTATGGATCCCTTCCAACTGGAGATATTCCGTGCTTCTGTGATCTTTATGAGAGGGGGAGGATGGCTTGAAGCAGGGAAGGGAGAGGGAAAGAAGATAGAGAAGGCTGTTATGTTGGAGCAGAAACACGTATCATTAAGCAGGTGTTAAAAAGTCTCTCTCAGCAGGAGAAAAAGAATAAAGACAAAAAATAATGAAACCCAAATCCAGGAGCTCTGTCAAGTCCCAAGTCCCTCGGCTTATCGTGCCAGCCTGGTGCCAAGCTAAGAATGAAATGATACGGCCGGTGCTAAACCACCTCTTTCCTCCTGTCCCTCTCTCCAGGGCACGTGCTGTACAGTCATGAGAAAGGGGATCCTGGCGGAAATTTCGCCTTCGCCTTCGATGTGACCGATGCAGATGGCAGCAAACTGTCGGACCAGGTTTTTTATATTAGCGTATTAGGTAAAAGATTCCCATCCCTCACGTACTGCACGTTCAGATCTGATTCTTGAGATGAAGTTTTTACTTGCTGTTAATTCAAAGGCCTTGGAGGTTTGGGGCACGGGGAGAGTTCACGGGTGTAAGGACTAGCTCTTTGGCTTCTGATAAACTCACTGGAAAAAGTAGAAGCGTTCCCCTTGGTATCTTCATACCGTCTAGATTGTCTTTAAGGCTCTGTAACGTTACTGTCCCCTCGATTAACGTGAGGCCCAGAGTACCTGTTTTGGAATTACCGGTGTTTGTGCGTATGTTGTACCCGATTTAAATAACACCGAGCAAAGGAGGGCGAGCGTCTCCTAACTCAGACTTTGCATTTAACCCTTCTTCATACCATCTAGATTGTCTTTAAGACTCTGTAACGTTACCGTCCCCTCGATTAATGTGAGGCCCAGAATTACCAGTGTTTGTGCGTATGTCATACCCGATTTAAATAACACCGAGCAAAGGAGGGCGAGCATCTCCTAACTCAGACTTTGCATTTAACCCTTTCAGAGGACAGATTCCCCCCTTCCATCATCGCTAACGAAGGGTTGGTCTTGGATGAGAACTCAGCAAAGACAATCACGCCCCTCCAGCTCTCCGCCAGCGACCGGGACAGCGAGCCGAGCCAGCTGCAGTACAAGCTGACCAAGCAGCCACAGCTGGGGCATTTGGAGCACGCCGCCTCCCCAGGTTAGCAGGGCGGATTTTACTCGGTCGCTACTCCTAGGAGCAAAGCACTGGAGGGCTTTTGAGCCCTAGAGATTGGCTGCAGGAAAAATGTGCTCGAAGGCAGCAGCACAGAATGATTTTTGTGTCAGAAATGTGATGGTCGTTAGCCCAGGGAGAACAGGGTGATTAGCCCGATAATCACAGATGAGGATTCATTCAGCCTCTGGGTGAGTTCATTGCCCACGGTAACCTTGCCTGGTTGATGTCGCAGATCAGTCCGGCTTGCCGCTGTGCGAATCTCCCCTTTCAGGATGTATTGCTGCATCCGCGTGACAGGCAAACCTTCAGCCTTTTCTGTGACCGCCTGTAGTACAACGCCCCAAGGAACCCATCCCCGAACGGCCACGGTAATAGAGCCCACCTTGGTGAGCAGACACCGTGCTTTCGGTCCCCCTCTTGGCCAGGATGGCCCTCGGTCCCCGAACACCAGCCTCTTTTCCCGGCAGTGCTTTGGAGGGAGGAAGGGAACTAAAGAAACTTGGTTGTGGTGTGAGGGATGCGCTGGATAATGAATTCTGGGAGTTCGGAGAGAGGGAAATGGTCGGTCCTGTGAAACTCAGAAGGTAACAACCTGCAAACGTGATCTGAGTTTGAGAGTTGCCTTCCCTGCCCCCTGACAGTACGAGTGTCCTACCCTTCTCTGTTTGAATTAATCGAAATCTATGCTGTCATATAATATGCTCTTCCCGTTTAGATTATACTCATCTAAGATGATATTTCTTCCTAGAATTAGATTTCTCATTAACGTGAGAGCAAAGTGGAAATATCTGCTGTGTGTTTTCAAGATGCAGACGGTCCCTGTACCAGCTCGGTTTTAAGCGTGTGGTTTTACCAGCTCCGTTTTAGCCCGTCTGCTCGCGGTGCGAGATGTCCTCGGGCAAACACGTTGAAAGGGTAGGAACAGTGCGTGGAAGCTATAATGAGCAAACCCCCTGCTGAGAGAAAAATTAAAAAAAACTTGCAAGGTTTTTGTCTAAATTGCGCACTAAACAGTGAATCCCCTCCTCTGGAGACCTGAAAGAGCTGGGTTAAGGATTTTATTCCTCCTGTTATTTAAACTGTGATGATTCCGACTTCTGTGCACGTTCCGTGTCTGTGATGGACTAAGAGATACACGCACTGTGAAGGCGTTGTCCTCACGATTTCCGTCACCTAAACCTGAGGAGAGAGTACTGATGTGTTCAAAAGAGAACACAAATGTTGAAAGCTAATGAGCTCTGAGGAAACCTTAGCTAATCGTCCCGTTTTGGCTCATTTATTTATATCCGATCCTGGTATCTTTTGTAGCGTGGCCAGTACTTGTCAGTAGCCATTTAACACGGTAAACTGGTGAAAAACTTTTTGTCGGGGTTTTTGTTGTTAAGAGCAGTAAAACTGTGGAACTGCAGCGGCGAGACTTAAAGGCTTTGGAAAATGCTTGTCGGGTACCTTTCTGTGTCTGTGTCACACCTGACAACCTGTAAAGATGTCAGCGTTGAAAATGGGGCTTAGTCCCTTCTAAACGCAGCGGGACAAGGAGGGGAAAAGAGAACAGAGACTTGGAAGGCATTTTCGGAAAGTGCCGTGAGGCCAGGAAGCCTTTTTTTTTCAGCGATGCCGCAGGTCAACCGGCCCCGCGCCGGAGTGAAAATGGAAGCGTTACACCTCCCGTTGCTCTCACCGCTTCTCCCTCGCCCTCTGCCCCGAGATGCCCGTCCCCAGCAGGGTGTCCTGACGGCGCGAGCGCCGCTGTAGAACCCTCCGTCTGGGAGGAAGTCTGTACTTCTTCCTGCGGAAGGGCTGCCGCTACGTCGATTTATAAGTTGTCGAGCGGAGTTTTTAGGAGGCTCCGTGCCAGCCGAATCCCTGGCTCAGCTGAGGTTCATGGTACAGCCTGAATCGGAGCAGAACAAGCCAAGGCTGAGCGCTTATGGCTACGTACGGCCAGCTCCCTATATTTTTCCCTGCCTCGCTCTTTCAATCGCCCATTTGCCCCTGTTGTTCTTTTTCCAGGGACAAGAATTAGTTCTTTCAGCCAGGCAGACTTGGCCTCTCGCAGCATCCGGTACGTCCACACCAGCGACATTGAAAAGCACGCAGATGCGTTCACCTTTTCTGTTTCTGACGGAACGAATGAGGTAAGTCCCGGCACGGTTTTTTTTGCAGGCTGTTGATTCTGTAGGATGTGATGGGAGTCAGTTTTCCTCTTGGGTGCTTGCAAGAGACAGTTACACCTAGCAAAGGAAATGAAAGAAGCCACGCACGGGCTGGTCATTTGGCAACGGCGTGAAATGTTTCCTCTGCTGCGAGAGATCTTACGTACCGCAGGGGAGGGAATGAGCCTTGGCCATCTGAGATGTAGCCTCATGAGACTGGTTGACCAAGCTTTCATTGTCTGGTTTTCATCTGCTTCTCGATTGCTCCTGGAGCTCAGCTTTGATCCAGTGCACTGACAACGTACCTAGAAGCACAGTTAGACCCTTGAGAAATGTCTTCTTCCTGCTGTCTGAAAGGGAAAAATCATAGCTGCAAATAGAACGGGAGGGAGGGAAGGAAAAGTGAGTGTCCATAAATATCACAGAAAAAGGAAGAATTGGTGGGGAGGGATAGAGGAGGTCACGTTCACAAGGCCTGAGCTTAGAAGCTCTCATTTACCCAACTGAACAAGGCCAAAATCAAGTGACCCATACTCTGCAGATCACTGCGGTCTCCTTAAAGCGTTCCTGTTTCAATGGAGTTGCACTCTTGGTAGACTGAATTCCTCAAGAGATGCTTTCCTTCCTGTTCCAGGTGAGCCAGACGTTTGACATCACCATAAACCCTGTGGATGACTCCTTACCCGTAGTGCAAAGCCTCGGGATGACGGTTCAGGAGGGTCTGAGAAAAACCATCACGGAGTTTGAGCTTAAAGCAACAGATGCTGACACAGAGGTAAGGCAGGACTCGCCCTGGCCTCCTCCCTCCCCTGTCCTGGTGCTGGGGTCATGCCATCAGCGTTGCCACTCTCTCTCCTTGATGCAGGCTGACTCAATTACGTTGACAGTCGTGCAGCCCCCCCGGCACGGCCTGATCGAACGCACCAGCAACGGGCAGCGTTACCACCAAGCCACCACCTTCACGATGGACGACATCTACCAGAACCGCATCAGCTACAGTCATGATGGTAGCAACTCGGAGAAGGATCACTTCACTTTCACTGTGTCTGATGGGACCAATCCCTTCTTCGTTATGGAAGATGGCGGGAAGAAGGTAAGGGGAGGAGAAGGAACGGGAGGGAGATCTTCTATAGCTAAGAGAAAGCTCTCAGAGAAGGGGAAGCTTAGCTGCTGTCGCTCCACCGAAGATAAGGGCTGAGTATTGTCAGTTAGGTGATGCCATCTGCTTCTTCCCTGGTGTAGCAGCCTCTCCGCGTGCAAACTCGCCCCAGGACCTTGATCCCAGCAGAGTTGAAGGGAGCAAAGCTGGTACCACGGTGGATGAGGCTCTGACTCCCGAAGTAACAGCCGTCTCTCTGAACTTTCGTCAGGTTGTGACAGCAGCACCGCAGCGCTTCACAGTGGCCATCCTCTCTGTGGATGACGGGACGCCCAGGGTCGTCACCAACCTGGGTTTGCAGTGGCTGGAGTACATGGATGGCAAGGTAACCGCCTGCCCGGGTTCAGCTTCGATCGTTTCTCAGGCTGTTCCGGGACAAGAAGCTTCACAGGAGAACATCCTGATCCTTCAGCGGTTTTAGTTTTGTGGTAGAGAACGGGTGTCCCTCCGTGCTTATGAACTGTCTTGGAAAAGGCAGAGGTGTGCAGGGATGCCTGCGCCGTGGCTCCATTAGCGAAACCAGGCAGCGTGGCTCCAGGGCACTAAATTGCTTCCCGGACCACCCCCTTCCCTTCCATCAGCAGGACCACCGAGCCTGGCTCTTCTTGGCTCTTGCACGTGCAGTACAGCTCCTGCCTGCCTTCCTGGGCGGACACATCCTGCCCCTCGTCCCTCCTCCCCAGGGCGGTATGTTTTCAGCTGTACCGATGGCAGAGAAGTCTTGAGTATCTGCTGACGTGGTAGAGATAGATGGCTATCAAAAAGAAATGTGGTGGGCTATCAAAGAAATGTGGTGGCTATCAAAAAGAAATGTGGTGGCTATCAAAGAAATGTGGTGGCTATCAAAAAGAAATGTGGTGGCTATCAGAGAAATGTGGTGGCTATCTGGGCTCAGATTCCTGACTTCCAAAAAAGGCTCCTGCAGTTCCAGTCTCTCTTTGCTGTTAAAAGTGTTTTCTTTGTAAGAGAAAGCCAAATGTGGACCAGCTGAGGCACATCCCTGTGAGGTCAGTTGAAAGAGGACGAGTGCAGGCGCACTACAGCGGCGTGAACTGCCCTGAGTCCTTCAACTTGATGCTGTTTGTAACTGGTTTGGGCCAAGCCAGGCCTCACCTGAGCGTCAGCACGGTTCGTGGAGCGGCGATTTCCAGCTGAAACCAAAAGATTTGTCATAGCTTTTATCCCCAGCTCGATCGGGCTGGGCACCTTGTTCTGAATTTGCTTTTCTCTGAGCCACAACGGTTTTTTATTAAACAGACCAAATGTGAGGCAGAATTTGAATCCTTCCTGTGCTTTTACATCCGCCAGCTTTTCCCCTCACGGATTTATTCCCTTGGTTTGGCTTTAACCCAGGCAACCAACCTAATCACGAAGAAGGAATTACTGACGACCGATCCTGACACAGACGACAAGCAGCTGATCTATGAGATAACAACTGGTCCCAGAAACGGTTACGTGGAGAAGAAGCTGAAACCGGGGACAGCTGTGACCACCTTTACGCAGGGTATGGACGATGGGCTGGATGCTGTTGATTTTGTAAGTCCCTTTGTCCGGGTAGCTTGTGCCAGGGGGAAAGGGGAGAAGACAAAGGGCGAATCTCAAAGGGGCGTCAAAAATAAGAATTGAGCTTTGCTCTCGATTGCAGAAATCCTGTGATTTCTTATGGATGCCAGCCTGTGTCCTGTAGCACACCCAGCTTCTCCAGGCTTGTTAGAGCTGGAGATGCAACTGGGGACAGCAAAGACTTGTAGAGATGGCAGATGGCACGTGGATCTAAGCGTCACAAGGGCTGGTAGATGTTTAGCCAGCAGTGCGGAGTCAACAACGCCTGGAAAGTTCGCTGTCGGAGGGCCGAGGGAAGGGGAGGTGGGGGAGTCACCGCTGCCTACACCACGGTGCTCCTTCGGACTCCTTCAGAGAGGCTCAACTCACAGCGCAGCCTTTTTTAGCATTTCTGCCTTTTTTTTTCTTTTTTTTTTTTTTAATAGCGTTCCTGCTACTGCAGGTCGCAGAGCCCGGCACCAGACCGCGTTAGGTGCTGGACAAATGCGGTCAGCAGTTCTGCTGGTTTAGGGCTGGAGGTTGGCAGACGTGTATGGTACTGCAGATGGTCAGAGCGCCCGAACCATCTCAGCGGTGAGAAGAGCCCTGTTAGGACCTGCCAGGTTAGAGAACAGCACTGACATACGTGCTGCCCAAGGAAATTCATATTTCTTGCATTTCATCAAAGCTACTTTAGATTTACCTTATTTTTAAGTACGAGCCGTTACGGATAAAGACTAGGCAAGGGGATGTCTTGTCACAGCTCGTAGGCTGGCTTCTACCACAGGTGAGACCAAGGAAGGTAGAAAAGCTGCTGCAGCGTAAAGGGCGTGTGGAGAACCCGATCCCCGCGGCAGTGCAGATGCACGTCTCCGCGCTGCTCGTCTGTAAAAGTGCCGTTGAATTTCTGGGTTGGCTCATCGGATGTCTCCTCCCGGCAGAGGATGTGAACCAGGGCCTCGTTCGGTACGTGGCACATGAGGAGAAGGTTCAGGAGACCACGGACAGCTTTCAGTTCCTAGTGAAGGACAGTAAACCCAACGTGGTCAGCGGCAACATCTTCCACATCCAGTGGTCCCTCCTCAGCTTTACACGCACCAGGTAAATGGGGTTTACAGCACTCCTCAGAGAGATGGGGTCATACCCGGAATGAGCAGAGGAGGTCTGGGATACGTCATTGGACCTACAGCGTGGAAACGAGATTGCGGGGCAGTTGTGGTGAGGTGGATGTCAGTCTCTTCTCCCGAGCAACAAGTGATAGGACAAGAAGAAACGGCCTCAAGTTGCTCCAGGGGAGGTTTAGGCTGGATATTAGGAAAAAAGTCTTCACCAAAAGGATTGTCAATCACTGGAATAGGCGGCCTAGGGAAGTAGTGGAGTCACCATCCGTGGAGATATTTAAAAGCCATGTAGATATGGTGCTTGGGGACATGGTTTAGTGGTGGACTTGGCAGTGCTAGGTTAATGGTTCGACTTGATGATCTTAAAGGTCTTTTTCAACGATTCTATGATTCTATGATTCTACCATCATTTCTGCCTGTGTTTCCCTGGCACCCCGTCGGGACTGACTGTAGTGCTGCACGTGGCATTGCTGTTGAATTGACGCTGTTGATTTCTGGCGGGAGGCGTAGGGGAGCCCACGGCAGCCGGTACGGCGGCGGGGACCCCTCTGGGCCCTGTGCGTGCCTGCCGGGTTAAACCGTGGCGCGGGGCTTGCTCCCCAGCCTGGTATTTCTATCTGCTCGTTTCGTTTCCAGCTACAACGTCAGAGAGAACGCAGGCTCTGTGAGCGTCACCGTGAGGCGGACTGGTAACCTCAACCAGTACGCGATCGTCTTGTGCCGCACGGAGCCGGGAACGGCCACCTCCAGCTCCGGTTCGCAGCCGGGAGAGCAGGACTACGTGGAGTACGCAGGGCAGGTAGGTTGGGACAGCGGGAGAGGGAAGGTCTGACCATGCATGCCATCACGGCTGGATGAAAGAACTGATAAAAACTGATAAAACCACAAAGGAGACTGTTTCCTTTCTGAAACTTTGTGGCTTATTTGCTTTTGAGGCAGAGGGTCTCTTTTTTCATCTTTTTTTTTTTTTTTATGTTGGCTTTGCCACAGTGGTCCGTCAGACCACAAACGTTACGGGCGTGCCTCAGTAGGAATGTCATTCCTCATCGCGCAAAGGGGTAAAACCACTGCTGAGATCAGCGCGGGTAGGGCCCTACGGCCTGCGTTTGCTGCTGCCTTTGACCTCCGCTGGCTGTTTATCCTTGGTGAAGGTCGGCGTCGGGGCCGCCCGTGTACGGGGGGACGTGACTCGCGCGAGGGTAAGACAGGAAGGACTCCAGTTTTGGACCCCAGTCCAAGGAGAGCAGCCCGCTTGCTGCCTTCCAGGTGCAGTTTGAGGAGCGGGAGGACACCAAGGCCTGCACCATCGTCATTAACGATGACAACGTCTATGAGAGCGTGGAGAGCTTTGCCGTGGAGCTCAGCATGCCGGCCTACGCTCTGCTGGGGAACGTCACCCGGGCCACCGTGGCCATCACCGACGTGGAGGACGAGCCCACCCTGCAGTTCGACAGGAAGACGTACCACGTCAGCGAGAGCGACGGTTTTCTCTCTGCTCCCATCGAAAGGAAAGGTGGGTCGAGCCGGGCAGAGCGACTTTCCGTACTGCCGTGGGGCTCTGCGGCACGGGAGGGAGAGCGGCTCCGCAGGAGATGCTGCAGGGCCGGTGGGGAGCTCCGGAGACTGGGGACACAGAGAGGTGAAGCGCCTCGGGACAGACCGCGAAGTATCCTGTGGCCGTTTAGAGCTTGGATTTTAATTCCGTACTTTAGGAGATGCGGTTTAGCGCCCGCGTCCTGCAGTCTGCTCGCACATCTCTAGGATTCCTGTGCAGCGGCTGAGGACTCGGTGCGGTACGTACCTTCGCCAGGCTCAGGCAAACGACTGTTTCCTCTTGGCAGGCAAATAACAGTGACCCCCAGAGCACGCAGTGTTCCCTGGACTTTGCCTGTTCGTGATTTTGGGGTGATTCTTTGATTTTTTTTTTTTTTATTTTTTTTTTGGAAGTAGCTTTGTGGTGCAACCGAAATGACAAGCAGATGCGTTCTTTTTTTTTAAAATCTTTCCCAGCTCTGCTGTGTAAGATTGACCAACGCAGCTAAAGCTCCCTACTTTTGGATTCATTTCTCCTCCCAGCACGACCAGGAGCACACCCTTGTATTTATTTCCTGCTTCTCTGTGACCTCTAGGTGCCGTGTTTTGTGCGGACCCTAGCACTGTACTGTATATTCTTTAACAGGCAAGTGCCACCCGTTTCCCGATCGCAGGAACCGAGAGCGCAGATTTGGAGCATCCCTGGAAGTCAGACCTAAGCCAGCTTTTATGCCAGTTTAGGAGCAGGGATGGTGTTCTTTTTAACTCTTCGCTCTCTTTTCTGACTGCTGCTTTATTATTACAGTGAACGGTGTCTCCACCAAATAGATTAAAAGTATTTCTGTCGAGTTACGGGGTTTTTGTCCTGTTGCCTCTTAGGGGACACCAGCAGCACCGTGTCTGCCGTCTGCTACACTGTGCCCAAATCAGCCAAGGGAAGCAGCCTTTATATGCTGGAATCCGGCTCCGACTTCAAGTCCCGGGGGATGGCGGATGACAGCCGCGTTGTTTTTGGTCCGGGCGTCACCCTGACGACGTGCGACGTCACGCTGATCGATGACAGTGAATACGAAGAAGAGGAGGAGTTTGAGATCGTATTGGCCGATGCCTCGGACAACGCGCGCATTGGCAGCCGGGCTTCAGCCAACGTCTTCATCGGCGGACCTAACGACGCCTCCACGGTGTTCCTGGGGAATGCTACTTTTACCGTCAGCGAGGCTGCAGGTGAAGAGTAGGAGGGGGCTCCCCCAGGGCTGCTCCGCGCGGCGTCGGGGTGCTTCCCCCAGGAAGAGGTATCAGAAGGAGCGATTTAGGGGCGCAGCAGCGGAATCGTAAAAGATCCGCGGAGGGTTTCTGTTCTTCCCTCTGCCCCTGCGGGGAAGGTTGGGGTTGTTCTCTGCAGCAGCCGGCGCAGAGCGCAGTGGTGAAGGGAGCGGGGCGTGCCGAAGGGAAAGGAGCGGGTTTGCGGTACGTGGCTGCTTTCTCAACTCGGTTCTCTCTCGTGTGCAACCGGCGATGCAGGAAACATTGAGATTCCAGTCCTCCGACGGGGACCTGACCTCTCAACCCCCATCTCGGTGTGGTGCGCCACTCGGACGTCAGACCCTCCGTCTGCCAGCCCGGGAATCGATTATGTCCCCAGCTCCAGGAAAATAGAGTTCAGGCCAGGCAAGACAGAAGAGGTGAGGAGCCAGTTTGACTCCGACGAGTCTGCTCTGTCTGGCGACACTTCTCTCGTCTTTATGTGCGTGCTCGGTGCTTGCCGTTTGCCCGTTTTAAAAATCCACTTGAGGATTGTTAATGAATCTGCCGGGCACAGATTCCCATCTGATCAGCACTACAGCCAGAGAAAATTCGGTCAGGCTGCCTGCCCCAGGATAAACGCAGCTGCCTGCTCTCCGAAATGATATGCCGGATTTATCTAGGATGTTTTTTCCGTTGATGAACGAATTCGGAAAAGGCCTGACGTAATGACTTTACGTTAGACGCCCAAACGTGAGCGCCGGGAAGGATGACGGCTTTGCGTCTGTAAAAGCATGACGCGTGCTTTCCTTCCAGTTCTGCACTCTGACGATCCTGGACGACGCACAGTACCCGGTGATCGAAGGGCTGGAGACGTTCGTTGTTTATCTCAGCTCGCCCCACGGGGCTGAGCTGACCAAGCCGTTCCAAGCGATCGTGGCCATTAATGACATCCTCCAAGACGGTGAGTTGTCCGCGGCAGCTCTATCCGCTCCGTCCTAGGCTCTTCCTCCACGCTTCCGCTGTCGCGTAAAAGGGTACAAGTCGGATGTGTGGCTGAGGGAGGCCCT